TACAGTCATGGTAAACCTGCTCACTTGTAAAGCAGCTGATAATGTTTCAATGTGGTCAGGGCAATGATTGCACCAGATTCATTGAGTAGGCGCTTCTAATGACTGTGCAAGAAATTTGTATGGATAAATTATTTATTTATTTATTTTATATTTGTTTATTTATTTATTTCTGAATTGTGTTGTGCATGGGTCAAAGTTAGTGCAGTACAATAGGTTTACTAAATGAATGGGGGGGGTTGGGTGGCTAGAAGAAATGCTGGCAGTCGGCTCCGTCGACGTGCGGCTCTATTCTACTTCAGGGGAAGACAGATGAACTGATCTTTGCGCTTTCCTGACTGGGAGGCTCAGGAACTCCGTCAGGAATTAGATGGCTATTAGCTGGATCAGCTGCCACGCTACCGCATTTGTTCCGGCAGCCAAAATGGTGACCGGGACAGGTCCTCGTAAATAAGAGGCGGTCACTTGAAGGACTTCCGTACGTGCGCGGGAAAATTGAAAAACGGAAGAGAAAGAATTGTCTCCTGCAGCCGTGGCGTGTTCCGGTGTCCAAAATGGCAGCCGGACAAACAAGCACTGCAGCGAAGCGATTGCAAAAATGGTAAGCCTGCGCATATCGACTAAGCATCCCCCCATCCAAGGAGACGAGGAGTGCAGCGTCTGCTCGAAACAGCAGAGATGCAAGAAAGGGTTGAAGAAATCTGAAGGAATGGCGGCTGCCGATCCGACAGACGAGCCCCAGCCTATTTCCACATGCAACAACGAGCAGAAGGGATTCTCCCCTTCCCCAGGGGATCCGATGGGTTGGCTTCCGCGCTGATCCCAGTGCTGAACAGCTGACCAAGGCTTTCCCCTTTTGGAGTGCTGGAGCCTCGGTAGGAGCTTCAGATCTGGGAGGGGAAGAACCCACCCCGATCTTCTACAGCCTATTTCATCCAGCGCTGATCCCAGTGCTGCTGAAGAGCCTGTGGGTGAGGAGAAGACAGAATCCACCAATCTATTATTCTCTACTACCTGCCTTAGACCGGGAGCCAGATTTGTCACATCAGTCTGGGCTGAAGACCAAGTCAAGACTGGGAGTGGCTACCCAAGGACGAGTGTGACAAATTTGGCTGACTTGGTCTAATGGGCAGGAAGGCAGAATTAACCCATTGGTGGATTCTCCATCTCTGGTGCTGGAGAACAGTTCCTGTAGATACTGAACTAAAAGACTATGGCAAGTATTGTGTGAGCAGCAAGACAAGGCATATAGTACAACTTCCCTTTCTCTAAATGTTTAATCTATGCCTGAAGATGAGTAGGAAGTTGTTTGCAAGTATTCAGCAACTTAAGCAGTTTAATTTAACAAAAATGGCTCATAATACCAACATAACAATTCTCTCTGCTTTTCAGATGCTCAGTTCTTGACTATCTGTGGTAACCACAGTGCTTCAACATCTTTACCTGCATAGGTCAATTTGATGTCACTGCAGACTAGACAGTTGCAAATATTAAAAGTCAGATATCATTATATCAATAATTATGAACATGTGATACAGTATAGCGATCAGGGGAAGGAAATACATGCTAAACATGCAAATTTATCCAGTCTAGGGCTAGCCTAATCAAATATCTTAAACCTTCCAGAAAAGCATCAATATTTTATTTGTAAAGGGTATCGTGGCCTGCTTCCAACTTCAAAAAAGGTGGGTTTCTATTAAAGATGTTCTGTGTTGAGATTATGCACCCATCAGTATCAGTTTTGTAATTTGTAGAGCTACAAGATATAATCTTGAAATGATCAGCTAACATCCAATTTGCACAAGTTGTCCTCTTGACAAGATTCTCAACTCAGCAAGTAAATGACCACCTGTAAACCTTCGTTGACCATCTTTATTCCTTTATTAAATTCAATCATGGTAGTTCAGAATTAAAAAAAAAGTATAACTTTCAGCATATTGTCATTATATGCTTATTAATGACAGTTCTAATTCCTGAGAGAAATTGAAAATTGATGTGTATCTGGAAAAAATGTGGATATGAATAATATTCCCTAGCCAGCATGGTGACTGCAGAATCCTGGGAGTTGAAATCCATGCATTTTAAAACTGCCAAGGATGAGAATTACTGGACTAAACACAGTTAAAATTGCTGCTTCTTCAAGTTTCCTGGGTAAAAAAAAAGAAGCCTTCTTTATTTAAGGTGCACTCAGAGGAGGGTACTTGCAAAGCAGAACTCCATTTGCTTCCGTGGCCTCACTGTAATGCACAACTACAACAGGGGTCCTCAACCTTGGCAACTTTAAGAGTTGTGGGAGTTGAAGTCCACAAGTCTTAAAGTTGCCAAGGTTAAGGACCCCTGAACTAGAGGCTGGGGTATTCTATAAGCTTCTTGAGTTCCAAATGGTGTTTCATTTTCTGCTTAGGCTTGAATGGCCTTAAACCACTGGTTCACAATGTGTGCTCAGTATTAAATATGGAAATGGACTGATTTCATTTTAGATCTACAGAGGTATAGTTGCAACCTGGATTAGGCCATCCCTAAAGAATGGAATGACAAAAGAAAGAACAGGTGCACCAATTATGCAATCCATTTTAATGCATAAAACTTTTCCCTGTTGTGTTCAGTCACACAGTGTTATATTACTATTCCAAGTTTTTTCTGTAATTGACCTGACATGCCAATAGATCAGTGGTTCTCAACCTTTTTAATGCCGCGACCCCCAACCGGTCGTAAGTTGAGGACTACTCAACTGGTGCAGCACCGTTTGCAGAATGGGACTTTTGGCAGGCTCAGCAGGGCAGAGACAGCCTGGACAATTCCTATTGGCTTTTGAAAGCCAAGAGAATTAGACTCTATTCAAGAGAGTCTATTATATTGGCTTTCAAAAGCCAATAGAATAAAAGGGAGTAGCACAGCTAAGGAAAAGGGGGAAGAAAATGGCGGACTGCGTTGTTTGGCGACCCCCGTGAAATGGTCATTCGACTCCAAATGGGGTCCCGACCCATAGGTTGAGAACCACTGCAATAGATAGTACTTCAGGAACAGGTCTGTCTAGCCGTTATATCTGCCTATGCTCTCAACACACAGCAAGGCAGACTGCTGAAAGGGCAGTTTGAGATCATGAATGTACGCCTCTCATTATTTTTACTTCCTGCATTTTCTGCCACAGGAGGTTTGTAAAAGATACTGGCTTTCTAAGTGTTTTTAAAGGGCAAACACCACTGAAGAAAATGATTACTTTATTCAATTATACCTGAGATGAAAGATTCAGTCCATGAGAAAAAGTGGGAAAATATGAAGAGAAATATATTTCTACCAATAGCAGTTGCTAAGAAAGCAATTCAAAAGACACACTTTGCAATATTCTTCTTGGTTGCAGTTTCAAGTAAAGCCAACAATAAATAAAGACCATTTATTTGATGAAATGCTGGTTTCATCCATTAAGTAATACTAACACTTTTTATTGTTGACTCCATATTCTGGGGGATCCAACAGATCCTACTAACCATGAGCAAGTCAGTCCTTTCAGAGTCAAAGTAATAATAAACGCCAAGTTGTCTACCTGATACACTGAGTGTCCTAAAGTCTATCTGCTGTGACCATCACAACAGTATCAACTTTGGGGAGATGGGAAACAATGCTCGGAAAGCCTTAAACTTAGTTCAATAGCCTCTTTTTCAATCTGGCATTGTTTCAGATAGATTGGATAGAAAACAATTCCCATTGTTCACAATCTTCTTTGAGCTGCAAACCCAGATTTGCACATTTGTAATGTTTCAGTTGGAGTTGCTGTTTTAAAAATAAAATTATTTTTGTCTGTCTAGCCTTTTGTTGTGTTCCTGCCCCCCTTTGGAGGGTGAATAAACCTATTGAACACAGTTCTAAAATATTTTGAGTGTTAAGTCTGCACATAAAACGTGGCATTTGAGTATCTCTTTTACAGACTTGTTCAGGCATGTCAGTTGAATAAATACACTGGATTGAAACATATTCAGAATCAGGTCATGAATAACATATCACACACTGCCATGAATAACATTCTCGCAAATAACTAAAGGAACAAGCAATCTATGATGTCCTTTTATTATTTATTTTCTCAATACATGTTAAAAGATCCTTCTGACTTATCATGTATGAAAGTAGCACATTACCCTTCACATCAAAACCTTATTTCCAGTGTCTCACATTCTTCATTCCAGGACCATCTCCTATTGAGTTTTCTTCAACAAAGCATTATGCAGTTCTAGAGCGAATGTACAGTTCTTCATTTATCAAAAAAAGAAGCATAAGTGTTTTGATCACATGATCACAGCCAGGCTGACTATGGAACTCTGGGACTTGCAATCTGAATATTCACCAATGTTCATAAATACATGTCCAAAATACCATACTGAGGAACTACTACTTGCACTAAGACAGTTTAGTGAACCAAGCCAGTAGTTTTATGTCCAATTTTACAGTTACCCAAAATCTAGGTAAATGCCACCTAAAAACAGCTGTTGACTTAGAACCACAATTGAGCTTGGAATTATTTTGAAGGCCATCTCTCTCCATCTTTCAAATTATTCAAATTATTTGGAAGGCGATCCCTCTCACCTCTCCATGTCCTACTCACATGCACAACCTGGGCCACTCTGTAACCTTTTCCCTCCTGTTAGAAAACCCTTCTCCAAAATGTGAACAGATTTTGACCACCAAAATCCTGTCCATGAAAATTCTGAAAGCAAACACAAAACATCAAGTACACAAATCTGAGCACTCTTATTTTCTTCTCCAAAACTGTACACACCAGTACTACAAGAACAAGTTTGTTCAGATCAGTTGCAAACTGCAGTTGAAGGCTGGCCAACTCTGCCTTTCTTTAGTTGCCAAAAATCAAGCTCATTTTCTCATTGACAATAGATTGTACATCACAACAGTTAATACTTTCAGCTATTCTGAAAAAAACAATATACACTTTCATAATATTCCTGAGCTTCTGAAGTTAGGTGATAAAACATGACATCTGACACCAAGCATACCTTATTTGTTGCAGTAGCACTGGATCCTGGGACCACAGGAACATTTGTCACCTGCACTGATAAATAGTTGTTGTCTATGAGCGGCCAAGCCCCTTCCACTTTGCATGTCTGAAAATGATCCTTAAAGGTCCGTAGATGGGGATCTCCAAACAAGCCACAGAAAAAGTAAGTAGGGGGAATCTGCTCTCCTCCGCGATAATCTCTGGTTCCCTGACGGCCGCTGTAATTGCAAGGATCATGAGTAACTTCAGGGTTAGTAGAGGATGTTGGACCATCTTTAGAACAGTTTCTCTGGCTCATGAGATCACCAATCCCCAGCACAGCAGAATGATAGACCAGGTTGCCGCGGCAGACTTTGGAATTGCGATAGGTACAAGCAGAATAGGCCCGGAGGGCTTTGCAAAACTCCACATCAAAGCCATCAATGGCTGAGTTCAGGTGAGACGTTAGTGATATAAAGTCTGTAGTGCACTTCTGGATTCGACATGGTGTCTGCAGCTGACAATCACCTGAGTAGAAGATTGAATAGAGAAATATTAGCATTTGATATAGTTAACTTTTGTAGGAAAAGATTCCAGATCCCTTTAACACAATAAAGAGTCAATGGGAGTCGAGTGACATACAAATTTAATAAACCACCATCATCTATGCAGGACCCTAAGTGCATATAGCTATATTGTAGCAACAGCCATTGTTTTTCACAATAGCACATTTAAAAAAGGCAGCCTTACCCTACTTATGGTTATTCAAGAATAAATCTTATCAATTACTGAAGAAATTATTCCTAATAAAGGACAAGTAGGACTACATCCTTAATCTATGTTCAATATCTGTTCTAACTGATGGATAATCAGAAAATCTAGAGTGATTTTTGACTGATCTCACATATATCTGATTGAAACCAGTTTCCCTCCACATATGTTTCTTAGTTTAACAGTATATTCAAAAGTATTGTTTCTTAAAAAGTCTTTAATACAGCATCTAACTGTTCACAAATATTGGGGGGGGGACATGATGGTAAATCTAGAAGAGATATAAAAAGCTTTATAGTTTTTTTTATCAGCCCACAATCTTTATTTGTAATTCCTTACACCAACTTTATTCTTTGAAACACTGAGATTTTTTAGGATTCAGTGCTGTTTCACTACATATTTACAATTCAGTTCAATTTTGAAAATTAATTAAAAATACTAGCTTCTAGTTGCCTGGCTTACAGAAATATTCAAACAGTGACAGTAAAATAAGAACTCTTCCTTATTTTTTTTTTAAATCACTTCAATCTCTTTGTACATAATTCACTAAAACACACATTTTTAGCCAAAGCCTTCTATTTGTGAAATGCCCTAGCACAACAGATTACTGAAAGACATATCTTCAGTTTCCCCAATTCCAGAAATATTTTATTATAATTAAAATAATTTCCAATCAGCACAAGTGTTTATCAATATCAAATCCACTCAAGATTGTTGTTTAAAAAAAAATCTTTTAAAGCAATTCTAAAAACAGTGACGATACAGTTTGACCCCAAATTAAAGCACTCTTTCTACAAATGTCCTGAGAGATTTATGTTGAAAAATCAGTGGAAGAGAATTCAGAACATTGTCCCAGAAAAAAGGGACTAAAAGCCTGTTCAAATATGGCTGGCTGGTGTTCCTGTCCTAAGAGTACTTCAGTGCCAATTTTAAACCAAAAGGCTTCAGGGAACTTAAAACTTTTCTATCACCCCTTCATATTTCAGTAAGAGTCAATAATTCCTTACCTTGGTAACATTTACATTGCAATATTTAAATTGAAAAGATTCACTTTGACATACATTTTCTTTGTCTAAATGCCTGCCTTGTCCAATTACACTGTAAATTACTATCCATATTATTTGCATTATCCACATTAGGTGTCCACTATATAGACAGCATGGAGGTGCAGTGGCTCAGCGATTAAAGATGCTGAGCCTGTCACCTGAAAGACTGACAGCCTGGGTTCAAGATGAGTGCTGCAGGACAGGGTGAGTTCCTGCCCATCTAGTAGTTTGAAAACATGCAAATGGAAATAAATAGGTAACACTTCCATGGAAAGCTAACAGTGTTCCGTATGCCTCAGCATATAATCATCTGGCCACATGGCCACAGAAATGTCCTCAAGACATTGCTGGTTCCCTTGGCTAAGAAACGGAGATGAGCACCACCCCCTAGAGTTGGAAATGACTGGACAGGGGAAATCTTTATCTTTATATAGACAGTTAAGCCTAATTAATTCATTTATAATAGGCTTATGATAGAAGGAGAAACAAGCACATGGGTGACAAAATACATAGTTTGTTGAGCTTATTGTCTCATATTTTTACAGTAAATTGCTCTAATAAGAATCACTATCGAAGATACTATTCATTTATTCTCCTCTCTTCAGTCATGTCCAATTCTTCATGATTTTTTAGGCAAGTGCTCTCCATGCTACCCTGATAAGCACAGCTTCTTTTAGTTAATAATAATAATAATAATAATAATAATAATAATAATAATAATAATAATAATAATAATAACAACAACAACGTTGGAAGGGCATTGGAAGTCATCTAGTCAAGCAGGAAACCCTATACCATTTCGGACAAATGGCTGTCCAGTCTCTTCTTAAAAACTTCCAGTGTTGGAGCATTCACCACTTCTGGAGGCAGGTTAATTAATTCCACTGGTTAATTGTTGTAACTGTCAGGAAGTTTCTCCTTAGTTCTAGGTTGCTTCTCTCCTTGATTAGTTTCCACCCGTTGTTTCTTGTCCTGCCTTCAGGCGCTTTGGAAAATAGCTTGACTCCCTCTTCTTTGTGGCAGCCCCTGAGATATTGGAACACTGCTATCATGTCCTCCCTCGTCCTTCTCTTCATTAAACTAGACATACCCAATTCCTGCAGCCATTCCTTATATGCTTTAGCCTCCAGTCCCTAATCATCTTTGTTGCTCTTCTCTGTACTCTTTCTAGAGTCTCAACATCTTTTTTACATTGCAGTGACCAAAACTGGATGCAGTATTCGAAGTTTAACCTTACCAAGGCATTGTAAAGTGGTATTAACACTTCACGTGATCTTGATTCTATCCCTCTGTTAATGCAGCCTAACACTGTGTTGGCCTTTTTGGCAGCTGCAGCACACTGCTGGCTCATATTTAGGTGATTGTCCACTAGGACTCTGAGATCTCTCTCTCAGTTATGGAAAAGGTATTTATGACTTTAGATTTGGGGCCTTTAAAACATTTTTAGAAGCAAAAGCACACTGACAGAATGTCTGTCATTAAAAAGAGCTATGCATGCAATGTAGTAATGTAACATGACTTCAGATTTTTTAGTTCATTATTTAAGTAAATTTTAAAATTCTCCATCACAAACAATCCAGATGCACAGTATGTTGAACAATATTTCCTTACTCTGTAAAGATCTTCAAACCACTTGTGCAGCTTTTAGAAACACCTACGAAACTAATATTTATCTGCCCAGAGTTAGTTATAACATGAGTGGCTAAATATTTTAAATATATAGACACCTAAACACCAAGATTCCTGTTGGCCACAAATACTGGGAAAGGGGGGGGGCTGTCTGATTGACTGTATTCCTACAATAAATTAAAATATAAGCCACGAGTTGCAAATTTCAAATATCAGAAGAGCATCATTTCAGATTAATACATTTTCATAAAGCTTATTTAAATAAGAAGAAATCCCAACTTCTGGCTATCATAGACTAACACTGCTCTTCTCTGAGAAAAAAAATCATAAAAAATACAAAGGCTAAGCTATAACTAATCAATCCAATCTATGTATCAAAATATTAACACTTAATCTATGACTGAATGGCTAAATACAGTCATAGATTTTGAAAAGATTTTTTACTGCATGCTTCTTGTTCTTCATGTTGCTGAACTACAACTGCCATTCCAGATCAAAAGTAATCTTTTGCACTGTATATACATTTTCCCCATTTTGTTCTGAAAAGCTATCAATTATTTAAAAGCTGAAACCGATCAATCTTTATTCACAGAGAATAAGAGACGACTCTTAGAACCATATCTGTAGTAACTCAGTAAGGTTACCATAAGCAGCCTTCTTTAACTTAATACCCCGCCAGTTGTTTTGTAACTGTAACTTTCCGAGTATCACTGGGAAAAAGCTTGGTTTGTACTTCTCACATAAAGCTACCTCGCAGAAATAAACGAACAAGCCTCATCAAAATATGTCAGAACCCAGGATACATTAGAATATATACAAGGTTCCAGCCGTGCGAAGGAGTCGGTATTAAAGCTCCCATAGAGGCTGGAAGGACGCCTTTCCATCGCGATTGTATCCTTCGCTTTCCCCTCCCGAGATCCTCCACTGGCAGCGGCAGATCACGGGGGCCGAGACTCTCTTCCTGCCCACGGAGGGAGCGGCAGCGAGAAGAGAAACCTGATCCCCGCTCCGACTCAGTAAACACCCGGGCAGGGAGGGCCCAACGCCAATCAAACCCCGACGCAACCGCCCTCTCCCCAGAACACAGCCAACTCCGCGCCGTATAGCTCCGTCGAGCCGACGCTGAAACACTTTTTGAAACCCGGGCAAGGGACATTTTTGCACAGCCGGAAGGCCCTTGAGCGTGTCAGATTCCCCGGATTTGTGTATCAAAACAAAGGCACTTTCTATCTAGCAGACGCAACAAGCCTTCAATGATCCAAACTCCCCCCCCTTTTTTTTTCTTCCAAGTGGATTGTTCCAAACTGCAGCGAGGCAGATTCCGCGTCCCTCCTAGCCACAGACTTTCTTCAAGTTTACTTTTAAATATTTTCCAATAAAATCACGGTTTTTCTCCCAGAAGAATCAAAAGTCTTACAAGACTCCATTTTTTCTTTTTTTTTAAAAAAAAGTCGAAATACTTGAGAAACTCTGTTGGGGCATCTTTCACACCCCCCCCCGCCGCCATAAATTAATTAAAAATCCCCATTAAGCCCATCCCGAATCTCTTTCCCCCCCCCCCGGAAAGGGTCCCGGCTGAGAAAGGGCAGCGGCGGTAATACCTGTGTGTGGGAGCAGCCCGAGGCTGAGCAGAACAAGAGCAGCCAAAGGCGGGGCGCGCGGTTGACGACCAGGGCGGCGTTGTTGCTCCTCAACCTTGGTGGCGGAGGCGGCGATGGCGCAGAAAGGGGCCGCTGTCCCCATGCCCGTCCATGCAGCTCTTCGGGATTCCAGCGGCGGGGCGACGCGGCTGAAGCATGAGCGGAGGGACGGGCCTCCGCGCTTCCTCTTTTTCCTCCTTTCCGATTAACCCCAGGGTGGAAAGAGGCCGCCAAGCCACACAAGGGAAGGGCCGAGAAGGAGCGGCATCGCGGAGAGGCAACAAGGAAGGAAGCAGAGAGACACAAAAGCGTGTGAGCAGGAATCCAGATGTAAGGAAAAAGGACGCAAGCGGAGCTCGGTCGGTCAAACCTTCGCTACCCTATTACTGGGGCTACAGAAGACTTCTGGCGAATCAGGCCCCCGTCCTGCCCGCTGGGAACAATCTCGGCTCCGCACACGCTCTGCGCTCCCGCTCGCCCACCTCCGCAGGCGCGAGGCTCCGCCCGGGACGCTCGCATTGGCTCAGAGGGGCCGTCCAATAAAACAAAGGCCGCCCTCGAAGGAGGCCGGAACTTGCAACCACCTAAACTGGCTGCTGGAGATTATCCGTTGTGCTCTGCCTCTTAAACGTTGTTGGGAACATCGGCGGTAGCACAACAGCAAGAACAAGATAGAGGAGCACGCTAGACAGCCTCTTTAAAAGAAAAAAAAAAAAACACATGTCGTTGAAAAGCTATTTCTATAAGGACCCCGTGTAGCCGACAGTGCTGAAAAGACCCTGAAAATAGTTGGTGGTGGTGCTCCTAAATACTAAAGAAATTCGTCCAATAGCGGTCGCTTCAGACAAACTGAGGAACGAAGGGGGAGGAAGGAGGAACCATGTGATTCAACTCTTTTCTCCCTTTTTTTCGCGCGACAACCAAATTGCAGTTCAGGCAAGAACTCTTAAATGGAAGGCTGGTAAAGCTTTCATTCCAACTCGAGCAGGCGGTGTAGTTGCCGGAGGGCCGTGGGATTTTTGGCAGGGGGAGGGATCAGCGGATGCCCTTCAAATACACAAGCAATTTCTAGTAATTTGGCGCCCCTAATTTATGAGCAATAGATTTGTTTTTCTTTTTAATTAAGTGAATATTTCATTAAGCATTAGTTGAGGTGCTGGTTTTTAATTAAGAAAGCACAGTTAGAAGTAACTCCCGTTATTCTGCATGATGCAAGATCTTTTGTTCATAATTAAAATTGCAGCGTTCCGATTATTCAAGAACGCACTACTTGTACAATGGGGTTAATCTATTTTTCTGCAGATATAATTGAGCCATTAGAAGAATCCCATTTTAATCAGTTGCAAATTATATGGTGTTATAATGTGGCTTATCATTAGCCAAATATCTACTTTCAATGTATGGTAATTCCGAAGAAATAGCAAATCTTGCAGGTTTGCAACTTTAAAGTGGCTTAAATAACTTAATGAGAACTAATCTACTGTAGTGGTTAACACCCTGTACTGGATGGCTGTGAGTTCTAGGCCTGGCTTAGGCATAAAAAGTCAACTATCTGCCCTTGGGCCAGTCACTCTTAGCTCTAGGAAGTCTGCAACTGACCCCAAGGCAACCAAAAAAGTTAATTGAAGTAACTAATCTGAATTTTAAAAGTAATTTCCTTAGGGATGTTAGAATGGTGGCTAGTAAGAAAGCAGTTACTGAAATATGTTTTAGAGATTTGAGAGCAACTTTTTCACCACTAATTAAACTGATACTAGTCAGAAAAGTTTATATTTCATTGACATCAAAATTAATATAAAAATATATCAATTCTTAGATAATTGTTTATACTAGCCAGTCTTTAAGCCTGAATGGGCAGTCCAGTCACATATTCCAGAGAGCCAGTTCATTGTATTTGTTGCCTGCAACTCCCATCCTTGTAAAAGGTTCCTTATCCTGTATCTTTTCTCTATGCAAGGTTATAGGTAAAGCGAATCTTGCCACTGCTTATCTCCATACAAAGCTCTACTTGTTTAAAAATTTGTATGGATTGGTCCATTCAAAGTACAGAGATAAGACCAGGAAGTAATATATTTGCTCATGCAATTGTCTTTCAACACACAGAAGCCAGGGAGCAAGAGGAGATACATAATAAAACTTGTGTTGCGATTTTAGGATGCAAACCCATTCCTTTTGTTAAAAAAGTTTTGGCTTTAGATAAATACACAGGGACATGAATAAAATACTATATAGTACAGCAACTCAAATATACATGCAGAAACTTTGCAGTCTTGTAGTGGAATTCAAGGTGATAAATCTAAAAATACTCAATTTTAAACAGATGCTTCCCATACACACAGAGTTTGTTATTCTTTTGTTTAGCAAGTATTTATTGGAGACCTCTTGTATGTCTACTTGTACTCACTTCAGAATCCTGGGATTGGCTAGTGTGCATGGATGTGTGTATATATATAAACTAATAAAATATTATGGGTGTGGCTAGGCTAAGACTGTCCCCAGGAAATCCCTATCACTTAGTCACTGATTTTTAAATCAATTTCTGTACACTGTACAAAATTGTAAACTTTAATTTATTATACTATGACAGCTATTTGGAGTTTAGTCATATAGTTATGTCTGAATCCTATTTATGTATTATGGTCATTGTAATTGCAATAAAGAACTAGTACCTCTTCCTTGTGTCTTAGTTCATCTAATTCATTGGATATTTTTATCATTAGCAAGGTAACATTTTATATTTTAAAAGATTTTAGGGAAAAGTCATATATTACAATATGTAGGTCAAGTATTCCATAGATATAACATTTCAAGGACAGTAATATTTCAACCTCTGTATCTATTAATTAACATTTTTTATGAATTCTGTGAAAATGCTTACGCTAACTTATAAGATGGACTTGCTTGTACAGCTAATATATTGATGTAAATGCATTACATAAATAACTTGCTGGAAGCAAATTCCACATGAAGAAAGCTGTATGAGCTGAGATTTCCTATGCTACCTTGTACTGCACAACAATCTTCATACTGTAGAGGGCATTCTTGAGTTATTGTAAACATTGTGAAACATTACTGCTTTCACTTAAAAAAAACCCTACATGTCATCAAAAAGGATTTACAGTATTGATCAACTATAAATGCAGAAAATATTAAGTTTGATACATTTCATTGACATATTTTGCAACTACAGAATAGGACAACAATATTCTGGTATTAATGTTAACCCTCCAATGGGACTTTTTGCCACTGAAATACTTTTGACATGTTGAACTGTTACTGTTTGACAAAAGGCATTTAATTTTTGAAGTGCTAGCATATTGAAAGTGATTGACATATCTCAAAGTGTATAAAAATTCAACAGAAACATTAGCTGTTAAAAAGATACTATTGGGTTCTACTCTTCTTGCCCCAATATAGCATCTTCCTTTGTTCTACTCACTATTAATCCATAATTGCCACAATTCATTGCAGTATCTACTGACTTAGATGCCTTTAAGGGGAGAATGTGTACAAGTCAGGTCTTGAAAGTAAGCTAGTACTTCTGAAGATACAGTGTTACTTCCAGATTAGGGACAGCATATCTCTAAATACAAGTTGCAGAAACAAAATAACAGGAAAGGAGAATGTATTTCCTGCTTGTGAGCATCCTAAAGTTTTTTAGATGATCACTGTGAGCGACAAAACGCTAGATTAAGATAGGTTTGCTCTGATCCAGCAGGGATATTTTTATTATGCTAACAGTTTGGCACCCATTGGCCTTCCTATTGCTAACGTAAATTATGCTCTACATAACTTAGTTGAAAGAAAATGTTGCTAGCATATACATTCTAAGTAACACAGGAAGTCTTACTAAAACTGTGGTTTACTCTCCGATGAGCTATGACTAAAATATATGTGTTTGATTGTTTGGGTGTGGTCAAGACTGAGAAAACACAATCATGTCACAAACATTTTTTTTCTGCTTACAAATATGCTTATATAAGAACACCTTATTTTGTTCAATAAAGAATCTTCCACTTTCATAAATGATTAGCAACACTCAATTATTTTTTATAGATGAATCCTTACCAACTTCCAGCTGCCTAGAGCACAGTTATTTATTTTGAAATAAATCCTGTTTGTTTCAACAATTTTGCTTTTAAATACTATTTCAAGCTTTTGAGAAGTGGGATAAGTTTTAGTATTATTTTGAATAGATTATACTGAAATGTTAAAGGTTTCACTTATAGTTAGATTTATATATAAGTACACTATAAAACCTAGTTTTCCCTACAACAACTCTGGGCCAGACACTCTCTTTGAACCCAACCTTCAAAGTTAGCCAGTGAACTCCCCATTCTTTAATCATCTCCCCCCCCAAAAAAATCCCCCAATGTTTTCTGATTTAATGAGAATGGAGTGATGCTATTTTTGATTCTATGAATATTTCCTTAGGAACAAGATTTACTGAACACAGACTACTGGACTTTCCAGTAAAAAATACCTAGAATTGATTAATTTCTTCTAAGAAAAGGAATCTCTAGAAATCCTACATAAGGTGAGAAAGGGAAAAGAACTGAACCATCACTGCGCATAGCTAGATACATATGGAATGCACATTAGGAGTTTTAAAATAATTTGTGATTTTATTTCCCACCCCCACTTCATTATCAGTTTAACAGACACACCATTTAATTCCCATGTTCTGATTTTTTTTTTTTTTTTAACCAAGACAAATATCTCTGAAAGTTGATTAAGGAGCTGGTGTTTGGGAAAGGAAGGCAACTAAAGAAATGGGGCTCCAACCTGGTTACTTCAGGGTAAAAGCTAGCTGCCTTTTATAGTTCCTACCATTGCCATTGTTTTGTTCCTCCACCCTATTAAGAAAGTATCAATGTGCATGCAGACACATAAATAGTGCTGAACACATCTGCCTTGAAATACTTGTCTACTTACATCATCATCTTTAACTCTTCCTGTGCTGAGCAGATTGCGGAGTGTGTTATACTTGCATGGAAGAGGATGGGACGCTTGGTAAGTCAGGACCTGATCCGCAATCACAAAGACAAACAGAAGATGAAAATTAAGATGCAGCAGCAATATGGTCCTTTTTCACAGCCAAAGGGAAAGATAGGGGAGGGGGGCTTGCAGCCTGGAACTGGAAAAATGCAGAGTAGCAGGTGCAAAAAGCATTCAGGAGCTGCTGCCCAGCAGGGGAAACAATCCACTTCCTTCCCATTTATCTCAGGAAACCAGTACCCTTGTCTTGCTGAAACAAAATTAACCTCTCACTAACCAGGCAGCATTAAGAGAGATTTGCAGGATCCTTAATATATCTCAAGATAGCTTTCTTTCATCCTGGCTTTCCTTTTCTTTAAAACATGGACAAGACATGAATGCCTCTCCATGCAGAGACTGCCCAAGCTTGGAAGATCAGTTCTGAAATTGCCAAGAGCATCACACACTGCTTATCTTACCAAAAAAAGACCCACAACCCTCTCAAGATTTATGACACCTTAAATAGAATTGAAGGAGAAGGGTTAAGGCAACCAACTATAAAAATTTGAGAAACCAGACAGTGCTGGTTTCTGGCTCACTTGCTGCTTTTTAAATTCCAGCATAAAAAGCCAGACAAAAATAAATGAGATTATCATTGATTCCCCCCCTCAAAAGATCCTATATTTTCTACTTCCAAGACAAAGTCATGTATTTATCTGTTTACTGTACAGTGTGTATGATCAGTCTGCTTTATGACCTGCTTCGGTTAGAATAGCCGAATCAGCCCAGCTGACAGATCCATTCAACTCCTACATTCAAATAACCTCAAAAAAAAAAAAAAAGGAATTTCCTACTTCCAAGTAAATGCAGATTGAGATAGGGCTATTAGACTACTCTGCAGTGGCCTCTCTAAAGATCTGCTGCGGGAAAAGGGATTTGGAGACAGCATCCGAGACACTTTGCCCACAACTTCATTCTCGGCAATTCACGCTCGTTCAACTGAGCCACAATAGTTTGTTGGCGATGACATCCAAAGAAGCGGAAAGCGGCTGGCTTCGAAGTAAATTTTCATAGCCCCCACCCTCCAATTTCTCACTGAAGATTAACAGTCTTCCGCTACTTCGTATCGCTACTATGGCGAGAAGGGGAGCGGGCCCGTCTTTTCGTAAAGCGTAGTTATTATTACCGAAGTCCTGCTTCAATACCATTCCGTTCCTCGAGGACAAACTCGCCGCAAAGGAGGCAGACTTGTAGCTAGGTCCCGCCTTGTCCTTCAGGGTCGCCTTCCTCAGGTGAGAGCGACCACCCTTCCGTAAGTGAGGCTTCAGGAGCGCGCTTCGGGTCCCGGCCCTGGTCTCCGGCGTCCATCCGGCGTCCTCGGGGCAGCGGCGTTCATTCCCGGCCGGCGAACGTGCGGGCTGAGCGAGGCAGCTGCGCTCACCTTTGCGCAGGCTACCCTGCTTTTCCCGCCAGCGCGCGAGCTCCAGGTGTTGGGGTTTGCTCCAGGCAGATTCCCGTCCCCGCGTCTTCCCAGGAGCCCGATTCCCTTTCCCGCGCCCAAAGTTAAGGAAAAGCAGGCGAAAAAACAACCCGCCGCGCTTTCCTCCGCCGTCTCCTCCTCCTCCTCTCCTCCCCCCCCCCCGCCACCCAGGGACGACCAAACAAAACCACTCACCGCAAGCATCGCCTCGTTAGTTTCTCTCCGAAGTTCCCCTCGCTCCCGCGTCAGCGGAGCTGCCCGCCACAACAGAAGCGCTCCGCGCAGAAGGCGCCTCCTCCCGCCCTTCGGATCTGAAGGCCGGAGGGGGCGCCTTCTGAGCCGCTCGCCCAGCGCGTGGCCGGCGAACGGCCGCGACTCCGTCGCCGCGAAGCGCGAGAGATACTCTCCGCTTGGTTTGAGCTTTGACACAAAAGGGGGGGAGGGCGAGGTGGCTTCGTCGTCGGCGAGTCTATCTCTGGCACCAAACGAGGAGCGAGAGCGGAAACGCACGTGGGCGTCGGGAGACTTCGCCCTGGCTCGCAGCCGGTCCCCCCTCCCCGACCGAAACCACCACAATGTACCTGCACCTCTGGACCATTGAAAGGCGATCCTTTCCGATTGGGGGGGGGAGATTTTTCTGCCGTCTTTTTTCAACGTTCTAGCTTTTCTTTTTCTCGGCCCACACTTCCCACAAGTTCAGGATGCAGCTCACCTTACTTCCCCCCCTCCAATACTTTAAACCTACAAGTTTTTGCGAAGTTTCAAGGATTCAAGTGTTGAAGGAATCACACTGCCATTATTTTAGAATTAAACTTAGAAAAGAATTGGAAATGTGAAAAATAAATAAATTACTGACTATGCAATATTTTACACAATTTATTAATCCTCTGAATACCATTTAAATAAGATTTCTGAAGTATATTTTAGTTATATGACTACAGTCTTAAGATGAATCTCTTGTGAGATGACATAATACGGAAATGTTATGCTCCAGATCCCAGGAAACTTGAAAAAGATTATTTGTTCTGGAGATCAGTCAGTGAAAATCATTATCTGGCTAATCATTTTATGGATAAAATTGTTTTAATCTGCCTCTAGATGAAAATTGGGAGAATGCGAATGAAATGGCAGCAGTAGTATCTTGTAAAGTTGTCTAACAGGTTTTTGAGACTGGGACCTGAAGAAGACAAGGGTTCTTTGTGATCTTTGTTCTTCTCCTTATATGTTTGACATCTGCACTTCAAGCAGTCAAGCAAAAGGGGAACACAGGTGGATCCAAATAACAGTTCTGGCCCTCTGGATAGAGATTTTCAATTGCTGGAATTAAATCAACCTGTTAGTCACTCTACGCATCTGGTGAAATGCATTGCAATCAACAAAAGCATATGCCTTTTAATAAAAAGTATTAGTCTGAAAAGATGTTACTACGCTTTTTCTGATTATTGGCTACCATAGTTTCATGTGGCTCTCCCCCATACAATAAAAAATGTACTGTAATATCTAAAACAGACTTGATACACAGTAATTAAACCCACATGCATAGAAAATTCAAACTTTATCTTAAAAGCCAGTATTACAGGTAGTCCTTGACTTGCAACCATTTGTTTAGCAACTGTTTGAAGTTACACCAACACTGAAAAAAATAATTTACAACAGTCCTTACATGACCATTGCAGCATCCCCACAGTTATTTGAACAAAATTTGGGTATTTGGCAACTGGCATGTATTTATGACAGTTGCAATATCCTGGGGTTATGCAATCACCATTTGTGACCTCAGCTGGCTTTCGATAAGCAAAGTCAATGAGGTAAGCTGGATAATGACTGCATGATTCACTATAGTGATTTGCTTAACAATCACGGGAAAACAGATTGCAAAATTGTGTGTGACTCTTTTAACAACCTTTCTTGCTTAGCAATGGAAATTCTGGTCCTATTATGGCATAAATCAAGGACTAACTTTATTCAGGCCTTGCACAATGGTTCACAAAGACAACTGTGCACTCTTGATCACTTGCCTTGCTCACTGCAGTCCCCTGGAATATTCAATCATTCATTTATTTAGTCATTCATTCATTCATTCACTCATGGAATCATATTGGTCATATAGATATAACTATGATTTCTGTTCTAAGTCAGGGGAATATTTTTTGCTTTTTAAAACAATGATCCTATTTATGTGATTGTATGTATGTACATATGTATGTTTGGGGACCTTATATAGCTCTGGTTCTATTCCTGCTGCCTAATTATTTCAAATCACAATTTCTCCAGAGGCTTTTGAGATATACAAGAAAGACTCACGTTCCCAAAAAGCTTCTTGTACAGAATGGTGATGGCAATAGATACAGCACCACCATATGTTTATAGAGCTGAAAGACTACTGCTTGAAAAAGATAACATTGAGATTTTACTCCTCCATCCTCACAATTCACAATGGCAATTAAGAAAGCTGTAGCTTTCATTCTCTTCCTCTTTTCTCCCTCTACTACCATGAGCATAAAAATGATCCTATAATAAAATAATGATAAAGAAGAGTTCAAAGCAATTTCAGAAAGCTCCCCTCTGAGTCTGTTTACCAATGCAGCTCTAGCCTCTTCCTAACTTCTTTCTCATGTCAGAGTTTTTTGCCTGGAAAAAAGAGAATTTCAGTAAGGTTAGTAGAGTCCTTCTCTCCAGAAAGATTAAGCAGCATGCCTAAGTACTTAACTTGTTAGGATTAAAGTAAACATGAGATAAACACATTGTAATTCAGTCCAGAGTTGAACCCTTTGTTGTCATTGTAATCACAAGGGACCTTTGCTTTGGCAGCCATTTCTTAGTTGATCCTTGCCTGATTTGCAACTTGGAAGAATGATCCTTTAGGAGGTTACTTTTGGACTTTCAGCAACTGGAAACATTGAAAAGGAAGATGCAGAAAAACCTGTCCATCTCATTTGGCCATCCTTCAAAGTTTAAGGATATTTTTATACAATGCTAATAGGCTTCCTTTGTGTTGCTTGGCACACAGTGATCTGTTAAGAGCAAGCAAAATATTTATTTAAAATTAATACACTTTTGATATGTTTGACTACAGTTCCTGTTATCCCCAGTTAGTCTAAAATATTGGAACAGCTGATAACCTGAATTTAGGAATTCAATAGCAATAGCACTTAGATTTATATATTGCTTCGTAGTGCTTTACAGTATTCTAAAACAGTTTGTAGAGTCAGCATATTGCCCCACACAATCTGGGTCCTCATTTTACTGACCTTGGAAGGATGGAAGGCTGAGTCAACCTTGAGCCAGTCAGGAAGTTCTGGAAGTAGGCAGAGTTAGGCTGAAATACTGCATTCTAACCATTGTGCCATGGCTTCGCTATGGATTCAGTTTTTGAATAAACTTTATTTATCATTTGATTGATTGATCAAATTTATAAACCATCACTAAGTGACTCAAAACTAATTTAGTTTTCAGTAGATACCCAATCACTAACCAGTCCTTTTTTTATCGTTACCAGACTATAGGCTACAGAGAACTCATTTAAGTATTAATTTAATTATATCTAAATGCAATATGTTGAGACTCTTCTGTCTGATTAGCGTTGTGTCTCCACACAATAGGTCAGGGGTGTCAAACTGCCAGCCCGCGGGCCGGATGCATCATAGTGAAACTGCGCCCACCCCATTGCCGGCAATGGCAAAAAAAGTCACGATACGTCATGTGATGTTGCGAGTTTGATACCCCTGTGATAAGTTGTTAAAAAGGGAAGTTGTTGAACACAAGATATTAGCATACAAAAATCAAAATATTCAAGTGATTTAGCTGAGATAGCAGAAAAATTTCTCAAAGCAAATTCATTTTCTCATACAATATAAAAGTAGAATGGAATACTAAAAAAATGTTTGGTATACATTGCCCTTATAAGAAATGAAGAAAGAGAAGGATGTAAATGAAGATGAGTTGGCTAGGATTTGAGTCCTCAGGGTATAGTTAAATAAACTTTGTTAGGATGGCAACAAATGAAACATGGCAAAGAAGAAAGCTGGTAATAATCACATTAGGGATGCTTCAAACATAGAATAACAGAGTTGAAAGAGCTCTGGCAGTCTTCTACACCAACTCCCTTTTCAAGCAGGAGACCCTATACCCATTCTGGACAAATGGCTGTCCAATCTCTTCCTGAAAACCTCCAGTGATGGAGTACCCACAACTTCTGGAGGCGTAAGATACAGTCGTTATAAAAAAGAGCAAGAAAGAATTTTCAAGTAAAAAAATATACATATTGGATGGGAGATTTCAGATGCCCTTTTTCTATATGGAAACCTGGCTAAAAAAAAGTTACAGTTGCAGAGCAATGAAAACATTTGACAGTAGGAATTTTTAAAAATTCCATCATGAATCCTGATGGGATTGGTTATTTTGCTTCAGTGAAACTAAGGTACATACATGATATGAATGAACAAACTTGCACTTCTTTTCCAAATTTCACTACTTGTTTATGGTAGTGAAAAGAAAAAAAAACTTTCTCCCTCCAATGGTTGTAAGATGGTTTTATGACTATACTACATGGTCTGGTTATATGATTATTCCAGAAGGCACCAGTAAAGAAACATTATCTTTTCAAAATCCAACTTTATTGCAAGCAGGTTGCAAGCACACTTGGCATTAATACAATGATGATGAGGATGACAATGATGATGAAGATGATGATTTCAAAGATAGGAAACAAAATATATTTTACAAAATATATCATGTATGAGCAACTCCATCCTGCCCAGTTCAAATTTATTGCCTATAAGGGCACAGATGTAGTAGAAGAGCAGGCTGAGCTGGAAGGGGGGGAATTAAACATGTCATCAGTTTGGAGTCATTGGATTGCCACAAGAGAACCAAGTCTAGCACCTTGTAAATTTCATTGACTCAATGCTCCTAAATACTTGCACCTGACATGATTAAACAGAATAGAGTAGCCTACTAATCTCTTGTATGGACTTGCATTATGAAGAAAGTTTTATGGTTTATAATGAAAATACAATAGTCCTATTAACAATTTTTGTAGGCTTTTCCGCTCAGGTTCT